CGAGGGCCGAACCTACAATCCTTTCATCAGCTGCATTTCCTCTTACAGTCAACACCTCACCTATGAAACTTGGGCCAGTGGGAAAATTTCAGTTGAGTCAGGAATCACACACACACACACACACACACACACACACACACACACACACGCTAGCATTTGCACAGACGGAGGGAAGAACAGGCTGCAGTATCTAAAGAGCAGCACAAACATCTGCAGGGAAATGTCACAGGCTGCCACCTCTTACCAGGAGCACATGTGAAATTCTCCATCAAAAGACACCCATTTCACATGCTGTCCTGAGAATGGGGAGTTTTAAAGGCGTATTCTTTTCTGACTCCACTAATCCTGAAACCTCTTCTCCACCCGGGAAGAGAAGGCATTTGTTTTCCCGATAGTCATGTATATTTTCTCACAAGGGTTTGTTGACATCCACAAACACATTCACTGTGGCTTCCACAGGAAAATCCCACCTCCTGAGCTATACGCTGTAGGCCTGTAACAAATCCTGACACCATCATGCCAAGTGTTAGTCTGTTCCAAGCTTCTGTCATCTTCTTTGGAAACCCTTCCAAACCCGCGCCAGGAAACAATGATTATTTCTGAAGAGACTGAGTTTTCTTAATAGTGTCTTGACAGATGAAAAAGCCAGGGCATTTAAAAGACCGCATAAGATTGGAACTGTAGATATCACCAAAACCAGGGTTACTGATTTCAAAGAAAAGCAAGAAAATCAAAACCATTTTTTTTTCTCCAAGAAAATAACTATAATTAATCTCCTTGATTTTGTCTTCATCATCTAAAAAACTGGAGCTTCTTTCCTGAGAGATTTGATCCCAAAGGAAAAGCTCATGGGAATGGGAAAAGCAGGAGCTTTACTTCTGCCCCCTACACTGCCATGCTTATGCATGTCAGATTTTTCCCATTAAAAACGTGGGTACATTTTAGTTATTGGAAACAACTATTTTCTTTGTTTGCTTTTCAGCAGAAGGGATTAGCATGAGTGCTTGCACTCCTAGGAGTGAGCATCTTTTATTAGCTTCAAAACTTTGATTAGCTTAGTTCTACAGAGCCAACTAGTGAGGTCAATGCCATGAGTTCTGGCCTGGGATGAGGAAGGATAGTTAGGTTTCTTCGGGTTTGCAGTTTAAAACTTCTGGTCCTGTTTGAACACTTGAATCAGCGGGCTGCAAATTTGTATCTACACAACAATCACTTAGTGTCCTCTTCAAATTGCTTTGAGTCAAACAAACCAAGAATGAAAACATGGATCTTCCCTTCTAATCCTTGCCCCATGTGGGGCTGATGCAGAAGGGCTGGGACCCCCCACTTTGAGAAACTCTACAGGGCACTTACTATTATTATTATTGTCCATGATACGGTTTTGTAGGTATAGGAATGACTGCCCTCTACCACCCCTTTCCACCCTCCACACCCTCCCCCTCACCACACCACTTTCTCCCAGATTATTACAACAGCATAGTCCTTCAGCAGCACTCATTAGTCCCAACTTACACATGCTGGAAACTCAAATGAATCAGTAGAGAATAAATGCAGGTCAGAGCAAAACCATGGCCCACAGAACAGTATGTTTAAAAAATGGTTATCTTGGAATATAATAAATATGCACAAATCAGCGGCAGAAGAAGAGCTCTCACTGATTTGGAACACAAAGTACCTGTTCAGAAATGACTAATACGCTCTTCTCACCCAGTTCCCTGCCTCAAAGACTTTCCCATTTTGAGAGCCCAGAGAGAGCTATCAGTTTTGTTCAGGATTGCTGCAGTTGGCTTAAGCTTTACACATCAACAGTTCGAAGAGCTGTTGGACTAGAAGTATAAATAGAAAACCATAACAGAAGCGATATATCATGAGCGCTAAAGCAACGGTACTTTCAAACTATTTAAAACAATTTATTATCCTGGAGTGTGGGAAGAGTGGGTGGTAAGCATAGAATTAGAGATTCGTTCTGCTTACTTTTATCTTAGCTGCAACAATCAAAGGAAATGTCTGGATTTCCGGATGTTCCTTAGTATCTCGGTCTTAATGACTTGATAAAGGTTTCATGCAGGAAGTTGATAAGTACCTATCTTTTCCATCTGTTACTTTGTCAGCACAGCTTCATTTTTCAGAATAAAAACCAGCCATGGTTACCATTTCCCGAGGAATGTAGCTTACTGAGAAAAACGTGCATTGGGTCAGAGGTAAGGAGAGTGGGGAGGGGGCAGAGGCCTCGGAGGAGGTCCAATGGATGCTCCATAGTGGACTGCTGGTGCAAGTCAGAGACAGAAAGGTGTGAAAGTGGGTGAAATGAGGTTTCTGGCGGATCTCTCATAAGCTGCATTTCCCTCCCCAGATTGTTTTTAGATAAGGATATTGTATAAGAGTCTACATGGCAGGTAACCCAAGAAGGTGGAGAACTAGAAGTCAGTCATTAAGGGACTGAGGTTAACTGTGCCAAAAAAGGCTTCAGCATTGCTCCGCCTGATGCTGAAGCAACTTGGCTATTTTTCACCAGTTGTATTCAATATTAATGGAGGGTTGCTCCCAGAAAGCATTGTCTCTGGAGCATTTCTTCTCTGCCTGATATATGGGCTACGTGGATTTCAGGGGCAGAGAAAAGTTCAGGGAAAAAAGCTACAGTTGGGGTGCTCAGAAATAGGTTATCTACGAGGATATCGGTAGGGATCTGATAGTAACTGCTACAATGCGAGATAAGAAATGGAAGTTGGCACAAAGACTAGAGAATCCACACAGGATACCTTCTTTCTTAGGTAAAGGAGCAAACGATTTCTTCCAAGAAAATAGGTACTCAATTTCATTTTTCCTTCTATATTATCTGTTTTTAAAGGCTTTTTAAATTTATTTAAAAGGCTGAGTAACAGACAGAAGTATCTCTTTCATCTGCTGGTTTGTTCCCTAAATGGCCAGAACCCAGGAGCCAGGAACTCCATTGTCAAAATCCTCCACGTGGGTAACGGGGCCTCAAATACTTGGCTCATCTTCTACTTCCATCCAAGTAGCATTAGCAGAAAGCGAAGTTGGAAGTCGGGCAGCTAGGAATTGAACCATTGCTCATATGAAATGTTGACATCAATAGAGATGGACTAACATGCTCCACCACAACTTCAACCTGAACTTTTTTTCTACTTCAGAAATCTATCTTCTGGGCTAGGCATCTGCCACAGTTGTCAAGACCCCACTTAGGATGCCCACATTCTATATTGAAGGGTCTGGGTTCCAGTCCCTGTTCTGCTCCCAACTTCAGCTTAATGGGAGATAGCAGGTGTCAGCTTAAGTAGTTGGATTCTTGAAAATTCAGATCAGAATCCTGAGCTTGGCTAAGTTTCCTTGGCAGTCTCCCAGCCATGCAGGCACTTGGGAGAAGGAACCAGAGGATAGAAGCTCTCTCTCCCTTTCCTTGTTTCTGTCTTACAAATGAGTCCATAATTTTAAAAACATTTTATTTATTTACTTAAAACTCAGAGCTAAGGAGAAGGGGAGGGGAGGGAAGAGGAGGGAAGTGGAGAGGGGAGGGGAGGGGGGAGAGGTGTCTGATCTGCTAGTTCATTCCCCCAAGAGCTGAAAGGCCAGAGCTGAATCAGGTTGAAGTAAGAACTTCCCAACTGGGTCACCCATGTGGGATTGCAGGAGCCAAAACACTTGGACTTCTTTTTTTTTTTTTTAAAGATTTATTTTTATTATTTTTTCATTGGAAAGGCGGATATACAGAGAGGAGAGACAGAGAGGAAGATCTTCCGTCCGATGATTCACTCCCCAAGTGAGCGCAACGGGCCGATGCTATGCCGATCCGAAGCCAGGAGCCTCTTCAGGGTCTCCCACGTGAGCGCAACGGGCCGATGCTATGCCGATCCGAAGCCAGGAGCCTCTTCAGGGTCTCCCACGCGGGTGCAGGGTCCCAAAGCTTTGGGCCGTCCTCGACTGCTTTCCCAGGCCACAAGCAGGGAGCTGGAAGGGAAGCGGGGCTGCCAGGATTAGAACCGGCGCCCATATGGGATCCCGGGCGTGCAAGGCGAGGACCTTTAACCACTTGCGCCACCGCGCCGGGCCCAACACTTGGACTTCTTACTGCTGCCTTTCCCATGCCTTCATCAAGGAACTGGAATTGGAAGTGAAGTAGGCAGGACATGAACTGGCGATCATATAAAACAGGCAGTTGTTTTAACCACAGTGCCAGGCCCCAACAAGCAAATGTTTTAAAGAAAGAAATGTTCCTTCTGTGGGTAATATGCCTGATGTTAAAAAAAAAAAAATTAAGAATTCCTGAAGCCAGCTGTACAATCAAAACATAAGACAAGAATATATAATTCATTAACAGCAGCTAGAGTGGAAAATGGTAGCAAAATTTTCCATTGTTTGCCTAATACAGCTCCTCCTCCACCACTACATTTTAAATGATCTTTGTTTTAGTACTATTCTTAGTATTATTACCAAGTTTCAAAAAACAGCTAAGGACGTCCTCTGGGCAGTTGCGTTGATTTCTCTTATAAAGGATACGTAGTTGTCCCTTCTGTATCTTCTTCGCTAGCTTTGTACTAATGGCCTGGAAAATTCCATCTTCCCCTCACTCCTTGCTTTTGTTGGCATGCGGAGGAGTGCAGGTTCTTGTCTTTAGCAAGGATGAGACATAAATAAGGTAGTAGAGGAATAAGCTTTACTAAGCAAGTGTAAAGACACATTTAGAAGAAGTGCAGGGGGCTGGTGTTGTGGTATAGCATGTAAAGCTGCTGCTAATGAAACCCACATCCCATATGAGCTGGATTTGAGTCCCAGTTGCTCCTCTTCCAATCCAGCTCCCTGCTGAAAATGGCCCAAGTGCTCAAAATGGCCAAAATGGCTCAAGTGGGGGACCGAGAAGACGCTCTCAGCACCCAGCACTGGACTGGCCGAGCTTTGGCTGTCATAGCCATTGGGGAGTGAACCAGTGGATAGACAATTTTCATTCTCTTTTTCTCTCTCTCACTCTGTCTTTCCCGAGAATTGCAGACTCACTCTGCACCTGGCTTTAGCCCCAGGCGGGTACTTTTTCTATCTGCCAGAGCAGCTCTGGGGTGCTGCGGCCACTTCAACTCAAGCTGTTGAGTGATGCAGCTGCCCTTGGGAACACAGTGGCAGGGGGAGGGGGAGGATTTAAGGAAAAAACTGGTGTGGGCAGTGTGGGGAGGTTGGGAGATGTAGTAGTAGCTCAGCCCTGCTCTAGAATGAACTGCCATCCATGCAGGCATAGCAGGTGTTTGGGCATAGCTTTCCAGGAAAGGGAAATGATTACCAGAAAGTAGGTGACCGTCCAATTTCTAACATTTTTAGGAAATCTCATAAGTGTCATAGCATCAGTAGCATGATGGTAGTGGGGGTTTCATCCAAGAGGCCATAGGTCATCACAGGAATGCAATCAGCCGCCATGTTAGATATTTTTGGCTGGTACTCGTTCTGGGCAGTGGCAATGCTGCAGTACTGATTTCAGGTTGTCGGCCATGGGGGAAGGGTTTAGAGGCAACATTGGGGGCACGGGATGACAGCTTACTTCCTCTCACTCTTTATCAGATCTCCATCTCTTGTCATACAACCTTTCTTTCTTCCTCCTTTCTTTCATTCCTTCCCGTTTCTTCTCTTTCTCATTCTCTCTTCTTTCTGCTCACTTTCCTCCTTCTCTACCTTCTGGCTCTCTTCAATAATTTTATTTGTTTATATTTGCATATACATTTGCAATGTAAACATATATTCTATTATGAAATATATATTTGTAATATATTTATTGCATATAATATATGTTATCATTGATTTTATATTTACAATCATGTATTTCTTGTATTTGCTTTATTTAAATGTTAAATTTATTAAAATAGTGTTAAATTATATTTATTCCATAATATATACATTACATTTATTGTATTTACATTGTACCATATGTATTATGTATTATGTATTATATATATATTTGTCTATATTATATTTGCATACATTTTTATATGGACATATTTTCTTTTCTTTTTTTTTTTCTTTTTGACACGTTTGCTTTTAAGTTAAAGTAATTGGTAAGTTGCAAATCACTCTTGAGTTTGTGCTTTCATGTGCCTTGGACTGAAAGCTGTTCCAGGCACCCAGACTTTTCATTTAAGCATCCTGGCTGTGTCAGGTCCCTGCTCTGGTGCAACACTAAGGGGTGGGAGACTGCACCTCTCTCTTGGCAACCGCCCGGAGACTTGCAGGGACTCTCAAATGTGCTGCTCCCCTGCTGCTGCAACCTTAAGCCTGTGGGACCAAAATGTCTGCCAAGGCAGCTTTGGGGCTGAGACAGATAGAATGGGGAGATAAGTCAGAGGAAAAGGCTCAGATAACTCTATGTCACACTTGAGAGTACCCCAGAGGATGCCCCAGATAGGATTTCAGATAGCAGATCCCCCAAAGTGGAAATTTCCCAAAGCACTCCATTTACCCATGCCTGCTTGGTTCAAAGGCGCATTCCCCAGAGTACAGAAGAGCCCCGAGGACTTGGCTCAAAGATTGGATTTTACAGGCAGCCCACGTCCCTGCAAGTCAGCTTATGCTACTCACCAGAGCTCCTTCCAACCCAGAAGGCTTGCACGCTCCCGTGAAACACTGCTCCACAGTCCGCTCAATTAAGCAGCTGTAAAGTAACCTCAATCATCCCAACTGTACAAAGGTTTTCTAATTACAAAGCTATCATTTTATTTTGATTCTTATTTGAATGCCTGCATGGCCAGCACCTATTTCTTTTCCTAGGTTACACTGTTAGCCTCTGGAATATCTCTAATATTCAGGTGTTTCCAAAAGTTCATGTAAAGGTGAAACTAAAAGGTAACTTCATTTTGGTGCAGAAAACCAAAGGTTTTTGAAATCCATTCAGAGTTTTCCCTGACATGTTTTCCATACATGTTTTGGAGACCTTTCAACTGCGTGTGCGTGTGTGTGTGTACACAAATGGCTTAATGGATGATCACTGTAGTATCTGTGACTTCTTTTTCTTATCTACAGTTCTCATGAAATATTCCCCAAGTCGAAACATTGCTCACACTGCCTTTTGAAAATCCCTTTGAAAGCAGATTATCTCCTCCTTTCAAGCATGGCAACATCTTGGGTGTCTAGAGATAACGGTCAAGCCCAGTGGCGCAAGCTTCCAAGGACAAATGGTTTTTTGATCACTTCTCTACCTTCCACTGTCACAGAAATGGGGGGCGAGGGAGGTCATGCTAACATTGAATCACATTTTCTTCATTTACTCATCAGACTGTTTCTCCATATAGTCTACTAACAATGTTCAGACCACAGAACATAGGCTATCTGGACAAAGCCAACCAGGAGACTCACAAAGCGCGACAGGCCCCCTTACTTGACTGCACTGAGAAAGGATTCCTTGGGGAAGGGACACAGGCTGTCTTGCAGCTGTCTGCTGCAGGGACGATGCTCAGAACATAGTCAAGCTATGGTTGCAGGACCCCTGATATGATCAACATCCACAATGCCTCATGGAAAAACAGCCCAGTCTTTGCAGATTATATGCCCGTCTCTCTTCCTGTTTAATTTAAGTCATCTCCAGCTATATGACTCATACTACCTAATTTGATATAGATGCTTTGTAAATCATTTTAACACTGTATTAATGAGGGAGAAATGGCAAGAAATTGTCTTGCAAGGTTTACTCTAATGTAATTAAAAATATATATCTTTGATTCACATTTGCTTGAATTTGTGGATGTGAAACCTGTACCTGTCACAGGCCAGCTCTTCGGTAATTCCATCTCTGAACCTTGGAAAGCGCAGTCATCACAAGGACCACAAAGTCCCTTTGCCCTTGCAGGCCTATCAGAAAGTCTGCCAATGGAAGTTATCACAGAGGAATGTGAAAACACACTTTGCTCTAGAAATTGCACAAAACAAAAGGATTTGTCAAGCAGGAATTCCTTTTTAGATTTTCGCAAGTAATAAAATCAGGAAAATAGGAAACAACTCTCCTTCTAAGAATGAAGCCTTAACAATCAATCTACAGTCGTTAGAGCTTGGAGGAATCTTCAGATGTCGAGCAACAAGAAGGATATGTCAAAGCTGACACACGTCCAGGTACCAGAACATGGCCACAGAGCAGATACAGTCAGCCCATCAGCCACACTGTACTAGGGGCTCTTGTGCTGTCCTGTGCGCTCACAGCCTCTGTATCCACCACCCTTAGTGCAAATGCTGTGAAAGGTGGTCCAATGATCAACATGTTTGAGAAACAAAGTATCCTTAAGTAGCCAAATTAGATAAATGGCTTGGTGCCAGGTTATCATCCTCCCTAGATTAAAATGTGATTATTACTTGAATACTATCCAATAACATTTACTAGCATTTTCCAGTGTTTTAACAGTCACTGTGGGCCACAGTTTTTTTGTAAATATTTCTAAACTTAGTGTTTCTTATAGATTAATCGAACATTTCTGTTCAACTATAATAATGAATTTTACAAGTATGAAATGCATTGGGTATATTTTAGGAGTAATGTCTGATTTTGGGGAACGTGCAAGAATCCTGATATTTTTTGCCTTGAGTCCCAGATACTGCTGTATCAGAACCAGGAAACATTGCTAGTTATCTTTCTAGGAATAATGAAAGGGCTCTTTAGGGATGGCTCCCAGTAACCCTGCCTTCTCCTGGGAACTATATTCCTGTCTCCCACCTGTCCTAAGGTCCGAATAGGCACCACCTGCTCTTTCATCTGACCACACATGGGTGTTCCAGACATTAATACTAAGGAGTCCTTCCCTGAGCTTTTGCAAGTGAGAAGTAGGGAAAATATTTAATTTTACATGATGGCAGAAGCAATGAGATGCAAAGAACACAGAAAAACAGATGAGAGACTAGGAGTGAAAAGAAGGAAGGGTTGGCAAGGACCTATCTCCTGTTGACAATGAATCTACCTGCACCTCTGTCTTTCCCTTAGATTCACTGCTGCTCGATTTGCCCTCAGCTACTAGATGGTTTTCTCCCTTCTGCTTAATAATTTCATGTCGGGCTCTTATTTCTGTAACTAAATGATGTCTTGATTAATACACAGGGTAAACTTTGGACATTACAATCTAGTAGAAATATGTGACCTCTAAAAATAAAAATAGGAGAAAACAATACAGAAAAAAAACTTCAAAATGACAATGTCACTAGAAGGTGTGATATATTAAGTAATCAGTTATTGTCACTTTGATGTAAATTAAATGATCACAACATTAGATTAAGTGGATGAGCACCATTTGTTTTTTTCCAAATAATTATACTGTTTTCTTGTGATGTATCTATGTTGGCCAATGCCTTTGAGAAATGGTATGTCTCTTACCCCATCACTGTATCCAAATACCCAAGGCATAGTCAGGTAAAACAGCTATTTCTACAATTAGAACAATGAACACATGAACAAAACTATAAGGACTGTAAGTACATGGATGGAAAGGGAGTGGAAACTAGATATTAAAATTATCCAGCTATTTTGATTAGACAAAAGAAAAAACGATATCTATACATTAAACAAAACCAAAAAAACTACCAGAAAGCAAGACAACAAAGGTTTTCTTGAGACTGAAGACTTGATCTTGAAAGGAAGAAATGGGTGCATTGTCCAGACAGACATTACCTGCTTCTCCGAGCAACCAGGAACAGTGCTCAGTGGGTGCAGGCCACCACACTGCTTCCTTGAGATCCCACAAGGTCAGCCAAAGGGAGCCTAACATTCTTTCCCAGCCCAAGCTAAAATTCACTATGTACTAAATTCTACCAGCCAACAAAAAGAAACAGAATGGATGCTGGGATTGAACTCTGTCTCCTTTCCTGACCCATCTACCTTGAGGATTATGAAGGTGTGAGACAGACAAAAACAAAAATTATTAGAAGATTAAATTTGGGGGTTTCAGCCCAAATGAATGTTTACTTACATGCCAGAAACGAATGACTTTGTCTAGATAGCAGTGTCTCAATGGAGACAATTGGTGCTGGCCACCTAGATCAGAGTACCAGAATCAGCTAGGCTACTTGGCTGCACATCCAGCTTCATGTTAGTGGTGCTGGGGAAGATGACAGAAGAAGGCTCAAGTGCTTGGTTGCCTACCATCCACAAAGGACACCTGGA